CTAAACACTGTATGACAGTACTAAAATTGTACTTACAGTACTAAACATTGTATTAACAGTACTTAACACTGTACTAACAGTACTTAACACTGTAGTCATACCGGTAGTACTAAACACTGTACCACAGTACTAAACACTGTATGACAGTACTAAAATTGTACTTACAGTACTAAACATTGTATTAACAGTACTTAACACTGTACTAACAGTACTTAACACTGTAGTCATACCGGTAGTACTAAACACTGTACCACAGTACTAAACACTGTATGACAGTACTAAAATTGTACTTACAGTACTAAACATTGTATTAACAGTACTTAACACTGTACTAACAGTACTTAACACTGTAGTCATACCGGTAGTACTAAACACTGTACCACAGTACTAAACACTGTATGACAGTACTAAAATTGTACTTACAGTACTAAACATTGTATTAACAGTACTACACACTGTACTAACAGTACTTGACACTGTAGTCATAGTACTAAACACTGTACCACATTACTAAACACTGTATAACAGTACTTAAATTGTACTTACAGTACTAAACATTGTATTAACAGTACTTAACACTGTACTAACAGTGCTTAACACTGTAGTCATAGTACTAAACACTGTACCACATTACTAAACACAGTATAACGGTACTAAAATTGAACTAACTGTACTAAATACTGTAGCACAGTACTAAACAGTGCACTAACAGTACTCATCACTGTAACACAGTATTAAATACTGCTATAATAGTACCAATCACTGTACCAACAGTACTAAAAACTGTGCTCACGAACAACTGCTCCTATTAACAAAAGGCATGGAAAAAATAATCAAAATAAACCCTTAACATCATAGCTATCCATGAATAAAAATCAGTCTTAAAATCCTTTTAGATTGATATCATGCATGTTTTTATCGCCCCTATGGAAGGGATCAGTGTATAGGTAATATACATATGTAAAATAATTATAAAATATATGACATATTTCTTTGATTTTCATAAAATTACCCCCCCTCTATGTTTTATCTAATACAAAACGTTTTATGAAAAGTGCCACGTGTTGACGCTTTTTCACCCCATATTGTCCCAGTACTAGTGCCATTTTATGGGGCTCAGACATTTTTAGTAAAGCGTTTGCTTGTATATTAAAATTTAGATATGCATGCAGTACTGTGCAATCTTATATTTTAAATAATATTTTCATCTTTGGCTTATGTAAACACTTTTTTGCGGACAAAATTCCTACGGCAATCAAGCTGTCTGCTTAGATTAAAATGGCCGAACACACACACACACACACACACACACACACACACACACACACAAAGAAAGGTTGCTAAATGTAAGGGTCGTGCGTTTTTACCTTGTTTTTTGTGTCTGTGCGTGTTTGCGTACCTGTGTCAATCAAAGTGTGTCCAATGCATTCTCTCATTTGAAAAAAAAATGTTAAAAAAATCTGATCACCTTAACAATAGGGTTTGTCGCGCTCGTTTACCAACTTTTCAATTTATTTCTGGCCTGAAGATTTCATTGATTTGATGTATTTTTGTCTCCCTTATAATTAGAAATAGACAACTCTAATGAATCTAGGATAATGTCAATTTTATATTTTATTTACCTAATCGTAGAACAAATAATGCATAAAACACCTTTATCAGTTGTTTATATCGGTGGTTAGACGCCAGATGTCGTACCAAGACGGGCTTTAATGTTGCAGTTGCTTTGATATGAAATGACGATGTAAAATCCCTTTATGATGCGGGAAGGTGATTGCCTTAGCCATTCTTATTTCATACTAATGCTTTTCACCCCACCGAAAACACCATACAACCCAGGGACAGTGTTTTGTACTGCTCCTATTAAATAAGTAGTTTGCCATTTTTTAACTGACACCCAATATGCACGCACTTTTTTTCTGTAGGCAGTTATGAAATACCGAACCTGTGAGATGGAATATCGTGTTACCACGTCTTCAGATATTTTTTTCTGCCCCGGGAGCACAGCATGTTTATTTAAACCTGTTTACGGGATAACCCAACTCAAAAGTCAGCCTCTTAAAAAGTGATATTTGAGAATGTGGAAAGATGTTTTCTGAAGTTTTTTTCAGTGACGTCATATAAAAGAGAAAGTATTCAATAAACAAAAGATTTTAAACATATGACTGATACAAAACGTCAACATTTTATTATGTGCTATTTTGTCATAGTACTTTTAATGTTAAACTATCATATAGAAAAGGCATTGCTCCACTGAACTATCATTACACACCCCCTCCCCCCCCCAAAAAAAAAAAAAAAATCTTAAAATTCCATGTTAAAACAAGTGGATTAATGAATGAAGTTAAAGTATGGGCTCATTTGAGTAAAAAAACTTAAACGAAATTGCATCTGCAGAGGACGTCAGCATTGTATTGGGAGTAACGTGGCGCGTGCATCTAGGTTTTTACAGTATAAATAAATAAATAAATAAATAAATAAAATTGTCAGTTTTGCATTGTACGTAACAATTGGTCCTCCCCTTTAGTTCCCATGATTTATTGTCGTATTACAGCAGCAAGTAATATCCCGGTAATAATTCAAAAACTGCTGTTCTTTCACACAAGACAAGTAAATTATCTCATTTCCTTTAGATTATGTGATGCACAAAGTAACAAGGCATGTGCTTGCTTTATAAGTGAACTGATAACTCCCCGACCATAGTCCAAGGTGAAACCTAAAGACGCTTCATTTAAAGCTTTTGTTAAGATAATTTGAAAATTGGTTAAAACGACGTTTTACATGTTTTATATTCGTCACAGTGGATGCACCACGTAATGCTGGGGCTCTGATTGTGATGAATAATAGCATAGATAACGACTTCCTTGTTGTCTTCTATCACTGTTTCACATAACCGTAACTTACTATCGTGTGCATATTGACTCTCGATTAGCATTTGAGTAAGGGACTTTCAAAGATACAAACAACGTTGTATGGAAATTGAAGCGGCGTGGGACCATTTGGCCTGGGTGGGTAAACTGCAAGTCTACCGGCGACGTCATTAAAAAAATCTATGGAGAGTCCTACGGTAACGCCCTGCTTAAATTATAAACTTGATAAATTTAGGTCAAATACAGCTTTATTTCAAGTGGGAAGTTTTAATAATCTAAATCAACATCCTCTTAATACACAAGCTCGACCAATAGCGTACTTGCATAAGCATTACGAAAGAGTTGACATAGGATTTTTACCGCACACAACTTAACTTGTTTAAAATCCTGTCACGCTGAGTATCAACACTGTATTCAAGCCAAGCTGCACAGAACATTGTTTTTACTTCAATAACACTGAATCACAGGTGGGGATTGAGGCAATAGGATCTCTTACAAAATTTACATCGCAATACATCACAGTGAAACGAAGACCTGTGATGCCCTTTACACATTAAAAGCATATAAATGGTATTGTGGTGCGCTTTTCATACTGTTTACATGGGGGTCAGGACAGAATAAAAGTAAAAAAAAAAAGAATAGAATGATAAGATGACATTTACCTTACTGCATTCTATAATTATAGATGACATAATTCAAATTATGTTTACAAAATTTAATTTGTCCTAAACGGCAGATTATAGCTTAACTAATGATATTTGATATTATTTAGTATTATTAATTAAAAAAAGAAGGCAAGAAGCACAACTGGTTTTAAAAATAAATACATGATCACGCAATATAACAACCGCAAACTTATATGTACCGCTACTTACGGCATTCAAGCACATGTATTATACTGCAATTAATAATGAAAAATATATAAATATGCCTTTTACAGTGTACATATGTTTTAGTAAATAGATGGGGTATGGATAAAACCTAGCATATCAATAAAGCCACACAATAAACTATAACTTGTTATGGAGATGTAAATTTAGTGAGAGGTGGCACTCTCTGGTGGGTCCTAGCTGGTGCAAGAGATAGAGCAGTGGATGGATTCATTCAAAAATAAAGCGAATGCAAAATGGGATTTAAAAAAATACACAGTTAGTTATTAAATCCAGGATATTCCACAAGATAATGAATGCACGAATAGTGGGGGCGAGGATCCTCGATACATATCATAACTGCTAACAATAAGCAATACGAAGCAAATGCATTTCTAAAATTTTATCTCGAAATCTGCAACAAACGAGGATACAAGGCACAAAGGTAGAGTACTGAAAAACGATGCAATCTGAGAATGCAACATTCATCTTTTGTCTCCTTTCTTATTTTTTCCCTTGATCATATTCAAAAGCATTGCTGACACATTCCGGTTTATGACAACTCTTTTTGTTGAGGGATCCACGAAGCATCACGCCTTACCTTTTAATTTTTGTTCTTTTTCCGTTCTTTATTTATTTGTTTCGGGAGGATCGTTAGGCGAAATATATTCTTCCTTGATTGGCCTCAGGTAAAGTAAAAATGCATGTATGCACTGTATGTGACATACAAGAGAGTGGTTATATCGAGGTGCAGTCAAAAAACGTATTGGGATTCAAATGAAGTAACCAGAAGTCCAGGCCGTCTAGGTATGTGGAGACCGCGAACTAATAAAAAATTGCACGATGGTTGTACCTCCGTGGAAAACATCTGCCTTAACCCTTTTGCCATTTATACTTTCGGATGAATTGAATTTAGAACATTATATTTTTCATTTCCATGGAACAAAGTTTAGACTTGAAAAGAGGACTTCAGAACGTGGAATTAGGGAAAGACACTGTATAACCAAAAAATGATATGGATGTTTAATTGAGCTATTTAATAAACACATAAGCCCCATTGGATGTGTATTTTTGTACTAAGCCAGTTAAAGTGCCTTTTATCAATCTTTTTGTTATAGCTTTCATATTCACTACAATCTTTGCTTTATGTTTTTAAATATAGAATGTAAAATAATATACATGTACATTCCATAAATACTACTACTGCTACTACTACTAATAATAATGGTAGTATATTCATTCCTATTTCTTCAGGTATTTTCTCGGGTTAAGCGTACATTTACTGAAGCCCAATGTCTGGGAGGATAGTGCCCATGTTGATCCTGTTCCTGGGCTCGCTTGCTCTTATAGGTAACTACAATGACTCCCACATATATTGTCATATGGTCGTTAGTATACAAGATAAGTTTACAACACGCATGGAGCAAATCATTTCTTGCATTTTTAAAAACATCGAGCTTAAGCGAATAAATCAATGATCTTTAGGTAAGACGTCTGCGTTATCGTACACAAACCTTAATTAAATGTTACATGGTACTACTAAACTTTTAAATCCCGGATTCCAGACTCACGGGAGCAGTACAACTAACAAAGGTTGCGTTTCTGACAATTAAAGTTCTTTCCACAGTCTGCTAATATGTATATGCCTTTTTAAATAGCTAGCCAGTCGACAGTTTCATCAGACAGTTCCACGTTGGAAGACAGTTCTACCACGACTTTTGCCACATCAAGTGAACCATCTGTTTCATCAGAGATTGTAACATATATAGGGGATTCAGAATCTTCTGAAGAAAATACATCTACTGATGATTACACATCAACTGATGTGTCCACATCGACTGAGGATTCTACACCTACTGAAGATTCCACATCAACTGATGTGTCCACATCGCCTGATGATTCCACATCTACTGAAGATGCCACATCTACTGACGATTCCACATCAACTGAAGATTCCTCATATACATTAAGCATCACATCCACTGAAGATACATTGACAAACTACACATCAGTTGACGCTTCCTCATCTCAAGAGTTCACATCTTCTGAAACTTTCGAAGTTACAGAGGAATTAGCATCTTCAGAAATCCCTGAAACAACAGATACCACGTCTACTGAGGATACAACATCTACTTATGATTCCACATCTATTGAAGACGCCTCATCAAGTGAAGAAGTCACATCTACTGACGATTCCACATCTACTGGTGATTCTACATCTATTGAAGATGCCTCCTCAAGTGAAGAAGTCACATCTACTGGTGATTCCACATCTACTTTTGATGCCTCATCAACTGATGATTCCACATCTACTTTTGATGCCTCATCAACTGATGATTCCACATCTACTGTTGATTCCATATCTACTTTTGATGCCTCATCAACTGATGATTCCACATCTACTGTTGATTCCATATCTACTTTTGATGCCTCATCAACTGATGTTTCCACGTCTACTTATGATTCCTCATCTATTGAAGACGCCTCATCAAGTGAAGAAGCCACATCTACTGTTGATTCCACATCTTCTGAATATGCCACATCTACTGATGATGATTCCGACGATGATTCCGAATCTACTGATGATTATGAATCTACTGATGATTATGAATCTACTGATGATTCCACATCCTCTGAGGATGCCACATCTACTGATGATTCCACATTTACCGTTGATTACACATATACTTCTGATTTTACCTCCATTGATGACACGCTATCTACTTATGTCACAACTAGTGACGGAATTGCAACCTCATCCTCTGATAGTGTTTCAAGTATTGGTTCTGATACAGAGATTTTCACAACATTGTTATCAACAGTCACATCCACTGAAAGCATCTCAGCCACTGAAGACACCACAACCACTGAAGGAACAACAACCACTGAAGGTACCACAACCACTGAAGGCACCACAACCACTGAAGGTATCCCAACCACAGAAGGCACCACAACCACTGAAGGCACCACAA